ATTGTACACTGCTTTCAATCTTGTTATTTAATAGTTGTAGTTGCGAAGTATTTGGCTAAAGTCTCGGTTTTGCCGAAATTTCTTTCGCATACTTTCCTTTTTATGTGTTTATTTGATGTTCAATCTTTTACCCATTCTCCAATTAGCCGTAGACGTAGATTATAAAACATGTACGCTATTTCGCAATCCAGTTTCTACTAAGTTGTTACAATAGCTATCTGGAGTTTTTTGCTTAAAATTAGTCCTTTTGCTGCCAGAAAGTCAACTTTGTTTGATTTTTTTGTCTATTTGGAACTTCGTGCTGCTGAGTAGTCAACCTCAAAGTTGACTTCCTACAGATTTGAACTTTTCGCGACTTTGGAGCACTGGAGGGCATGCGAGATGGCTTACGTTCTAGAAATTTCACGTAGTTTTGATAATGTCAATCATTTGTATTCATTGCTTTTATAACCTTTTTTTACGAGCATTAAAAATCGGTTTATCTTCTTGTTCCCGCCAGATTGCACTATACAGCTTCTAATAAGATCAACTCAATGACATCAACTCTCATTTAGGCGGGAGGCGATCCAGTAGCGCGATTTTTCGGGTCACTATTATGCTAGCAACACAAAAAATAGCTATTTTCATGAATTTTTAAGCTCTACTTAGAACATAAACGGACTTTTAACCATTCATTAGCTAAATAATAGTTATGGACATTGAGAACTAAATACTGATTATATCGAAGGTACAGACAAAAACTTCCGCAGATCTATTTTTTCAAATCCTGACTTGCAGCTTCGTAATTTTAGGTGATTCCGTATCTTTATGATTCCGAAAAAGCAGCTTGTAAATCCTTTTGTTGGAAGGTAATACACAATTATAATGTGAAAACTCCACGTAATGCAGAGCCCATTGCATGTGAACAGTGACAGCGGGTAATATTTGAGCACATTCGCGCTTTATTACTTTATTAATCAAATTTTCGCTTATTGACTGGTTATAATTCAATTCTCTTCTGAAAATTTGCTCCAATTTTCTTCTTCGTATCTGGCTTAACTGTCTTTTTAAATTTTCAACGTCT